AAGAACAGAAGTGGGAGGATTAGTTTAACGACTGGAACTTGTATGATGAGACTCAGTGCGAGGGACAGAGAGAGTGAATTAAGGTCTGGATAAGGGTTGTGTTTGTCTGTGTCTCTGTTCTTGATGTGAATTTGGCTCTGCAGTGTAGAGCCCAGATACTGCAGAGCGGAGTTGGGGATTAGGTTAGTGAAATTGGCTCAGAGTTGCTTTTGTCTGGTGTGTGTGTGTGTATGTGTGTCTACATACTGAGTTTGTGTGTGTGGGGTTGTTTTATTGCATAGTGATGTGAATGCCCAAGGACATTATTTTCAAAGTGTTTAATACCTTCTGAGGCATGTTATGATTTATAATTTATCCCCATTACATGGAGACATGTGGTTCTTTCCTCCACATTTACTGCACCAATATACAAACAAAACACGGTGGGATCTGCCCTTCTTATTGATTCATTGAAACAATGTACACTAATCATAGCTGTGATTATATGTAGAGAAGAGAAACCCCTCTATACACTAGATAATATTTTAGCTTTATCATCCTGCAGGGAAATGATCCATCTCTCCTGCTCCTCCACGGGCTGCTTGCCGCCCCGTGCAGCCTGACTTCCCCTGCTGCCCTCAGGATGCTCTGCAGAAAATCCCTCTCATTCACTGCACTCGACTTCATTGCGTCAAGATGTCACGTGGCCCTCTTAAACGGCACACTTGCAGTAAAATGCTTTATCAGTACATCACTGGTCTCCTGGATTGACTTCAGGAGGAGGCGAAGGTTTTATTTTTATAAGATGATAAGTAACGTCTTGTTCTTGGCTCATAAATGTGTCCAGATCGTGCTAGGAATACATGAGAGGCACCTCCAGTGGGCAGTTTTCAGTTGATTCAACCTAAACCTCGGTCCAGGATGAATTTCATTTTTCTACGCCAGCTACAATAATTGCTGGAAACATCCCCACACTGTGCTGTAACACAGCTGCCAGTACAGGGTTTTGGCTGTGAGGGTCAAAGTTCAAGAATCTCCAACATCCTACTATTGTTTCCAGAGGTTTTCCTGTGTCCAGTGTCCACTGCGCTCAATTCCTGTCCCTAAACGGTGTAGAAGAAATAATATTGTGGAGCAGGTGTCCAGTCGAAAGGGTAGGGCTCGTTTACCGATAAAGTATGGACTCGAGGTCTGGAAGTGTCTGTCATGAATATATACTATCTGCTCTGTCACAAATCACCTGCAGTCATTTACAGAGCAGCAGTAATGCAGAACATTAAAACATGACTGTCGACCTGTTGACACTGTGCACACACACACACGTACATTTTCATCTGTCCCAACATACGTTCAGCTTAATGAATTGTTCTGAACATGTGGACCTAATCCCAGTTGTCTGTGGATAAATCCAGTTCAAAAGAAAAAAAGCTTTTAATTCCTCTAAATCTTAGAAGTGTGATTATACAGCCTCTGATTAGAAATGTTATTGGATTCATACAGCTTTTTGCCTTTGCTAAACATTATTTGGAGGTTTGGAGGAAAATGTAGCAGCCTTTATAATTATAGTCGATATATCAAACAGCTCAGAAGCAGTGTTTAGTAATGGGAAGCAACTAAGCGAAAGAAGCAAAGAAAAACAAGGTTTGCACAACACAGAAGAGCTATTTTTCAGTGCATAGAACTGAACCAGCAACAAAAGCTCCATATTAAGCTCAATTACACAAGCAAAAATCATTTACTCTACTGTCACATGGGTCTTCAATTATAGGCTGTTACAAAGCTTTAAAGCCTAAAATTATCATTCAAAGAATTCTGTCCTTTATATGTATGATCCCACCAGAGTTTGACCATATTTCAGCTGCTCCAGCCTCCCCACTACACCCCCACGCTCTCACCAGCCTTTTTGTCTGAAGATAACCCCCACCTCCCTTCTCCAAAAAAAGCAGATGGCTCCATCTCTAAATAGAAAGCCATACAGGCAACACACAGTGGGTCTGCCACAGACAATAGCCACTTGCTTAATCAAGCAGCAACATTAAAGGTTTCACTTGGTCACTTTGAATCAGAGGGGTTTTTGGGAGGTTGCCCAAACAATTCCACCTGCACTGGGAGTACATGTCCCTAAATCCAGTAACTGTGTGATCAAAAACACTGTTTGAAATTAGCTTTATGTGAGTCCAGGCTTTAATACCTTTGCTCTTAAACAGTGACCAGTAAGAGTTAAATCATTAAACTATTACTGGTGGTCGAAGGTTGGAGGTGATGGGCGTAGTTCACGAGACATTTATACTAAGGTTATATATTGTACAGATAATATAGAAGAAGAGAGGTCTCTATTATTAAACATCAACATCATCAATGACTTTAAAAACACTTGATTCGTTGGTGGTTTGAACCAGTAATCATTCTTGAAAGCAGTAAAGGCTCGTTGTGTGTCGAAATGCTCACCAAGTGTTTTATATATGCTGTAAATACTGGTCTTTTTATTTCTTCACTTCAAATCAGAGCACAGACAATCACAGATATCAGATGAATTTCTTCATGTAAGGAGCGTAAAATAGTGCGCAGGACTTGTTTTGGTGGAGTTCAAAACGATAAACAAGCATCTTCACTGTTACTTCAGGCCCATAACCTCACAGCATTCCTCCTCCTCACAGATTGAAAAGAACTACAGAGGGGTCTTTCGCTTTAAATACAGCCAACGAAGCCTCAAAGAGCTGGGAATACTTAGGGAATAATTCTCCAATTGCTCATGGTTTCTCAGAAGGAAGGGCACACTTCTGGTGTGCATGACCTATTTTTCCAAACTCATCTGTCAAATGCGGAGCTGCAGCTGGTGGTTCAGAGTTCCCTTTATGTGAAAGACTGTTTTCAAAAGTCCTCCCCGTCACTCATGCAAATCAGTGTCACATTTTCCTGGGGCATTTCTCTTGGCCCGCCTGCTTTGGCATTGTTTTTCTCTTTTTAAAGAAAAAATATCCAGACAAAAAACATTACAAACAGGGAACGTAGCTGCATGACTGGGAAGGAAAGACATTCCTGTCAGGTCTGAGGGAGTGAAGTGGTATTGCTCCCTGACTCTGGTTCAGGGATCCCACTAAAAACGGAGCTATTAAAGCCCACAGAGCTGGGAGGGAGAGTGGGCCCCTGGATAAAGGGGAGGGCAGGGACAATGGTTTACCGCAGAGTGAGGCATGCCGCTCCAGGCTGAGGCCAGGCGGCACGACATCACAAGGAGAGAAAAGGCTCCCCCAGCCCCGCACAACATCACTGTTGCTGCCTCCCCAGCAGTGAGAGCCTGCATATTTCCATGAGGAAGGCCTAGATGACCAAATTACACCCTCAACAGCATGAAAACAGAGGCTGTGTCACTGCTGTGGTTTTAGCATTCAGTTAGCAGTTCATCTGGCTCAGATATGAATAAAATCCATCCTCAGTCTTTATTGTTTAGGATTATAACTTGCAATGACTCATGTTGGATGTTACGACATGCAGTGACTAACATCCTAAATGTAAGTCACTGCATGTCGTAAGTTAATTTTTCCGTTGCTGCTTTAAAGTGCGTATCCATGCAGACCTTTTTAAAGACCAAAGTAAACCTAAAAACCCCCGACTTTATTTTGTCACCACACAGGTTTGTTTGAAGAATTCCTAAAGAAAAAACTGAAAACTTATAAGCAGCGTTATTAATCTGCTGCTGGCTGTGCTGTAATCTTGGATTCTTGTCATTTAATTCTACTGACTTGACTCAGGAACTGCACTGAGGGAAGTTGTGCTTTTATGTGACAATAAAGTGTCTTTTAAGATGAGATGATCAAAAAAACTTTTGGTTTCTAATGAAGGCCGATCATTAGTTCGCAAGGTTTTCTCGAGGCTTCCTCTCGAGAAGTGACACCAATCATCCTGTTTACTGTAGCTCTCCATCAGGTCATGTTTTTGTTCCGCAAGATAGGCCTTCTCTGTTCCTGAGTCGAGGCATCATTGCTGCTGATGACAGCACTACAAAGACGAATCGGGTTTCTCTCATGGGTTCCCACAGGCATGAAGGATCTGTAGTCTGCCTGGCAGCATCAGGTTCCCCTACTACTCGCTCCAAGTGGGGGAGTGCATTAGCTTCTCAGTAGGTTAGTTTGAACTCATAGTGTAGACACCTATGAGAGGTCATACACACAGGTTATCTTATTGGCTTGGCATGGAGCATCACTGCTTCTCACTCTCAGCTAGAGGCTCTGTGGTTGCTGCAGGTCTGAAGGAGTGTAACAAAATTGCTTAGAATAACTGAAAAAAGAAAACATTTGGTAATTAATAATTGTGTAGCTGATTCATTTAGCAGCCCTGCTGAGCTTGTGATAAAGTGTTTGAATATCTTTGCTATGTGCCAGTCACATCTGTAGCATTGTTTGTGCTCTAATGCTTCTCAGAAAATGCAAAACAAGCTCAGTCACTTCACATATTTCCTGTAACATATTATTAGCACACAGTATAGGTACTGCAAACAGTCCTATCTTAAATAGTTAAAATGATTCCCAAAGACTTTAAGCAACAAACCACAAACTAGATTTCTTTTGTCGAGAAGTCATTACACAGCATTTTATTGTACAGTATGCTCAGTTACCATGTCAGATTTTAACGAAAACCTGCTGCAACTGCTTCACAGCAGCCCTGTACATGTTCTGGAGGGTTTTTTCTATTTCTATTTCTTGTAATGACTGATTAACATCAGACCTTCAACTTTTGACTGATAAACAAAAATCCCCTGTAACACCCAGCACCCTGTTAATAAATGGATGCCATTAAGTGTCAGTGCAGAAAGCATCCTACCGCTTGATGTGAGTGTGTGGAAGACTAGATACCTCTAAGAAAGAAAAAGCTCTTTCCAGACAAATAATAAGGTAATACACTTTATAATAATAATGCAGTACTTGATATTTTCATGACATTTTTGACCAGGGCATGTTGTGCACTGTTGTGACAGCAGTATAAACAGCTGACTCATACCATTTTTGTGTTTCGATGGACAGAGATCCGTAACCAGCTGGTGGAGCAGTTCAAATGCTTGGAGCAGCATTCTGAGTCTCGTATCCAGCTGCTGCAGGACCTGCAGGAGTTCTTCCGCCGCAAATCAGAGGTTGAGCTGGAATACTCTCGCAGCTTAGAGAAACTGGCTGAGAGGTTCTCCTCCAAGATCCGCAGCTCCAGGGAACACCAGCAGTTCAAGTGAGTTTCCCTCCCTGCAGACTGAAAATTCTCTCAGGCTACAGGTACAACTTCTATCAGAGGGTCAGACAGTAAATATTTGCTTAACTTTATGTTGATTTTTTGTTTAGTTTAAATTTATTTTGGTAAAGTACAGGTTACATTTTCCTTTCAGTGTGTATTCAGACCACAGAGATCTGTATGCCAAGAGACTTTATCCCCCTCTAAAGACTTGTTTATAACCTAACTGTTAAGACCCAGCCCTGCTGCTAATCACAGTGCCTTGTTTGATTACAGTGCAGATCTTCATTAAAGAAGGTAAAGACTGTTGTGGGTAGACATAACATATTCATTGCACTCTGTGATTTAGCACTCAACTTCATAGAAGAAGGCTTTGAGTGAAGCTTTATGCTTCATTATGTTTTAAATTCAATCCATTATGTACAAATATGGCAGACTCTGCACAAGCTCTGCAACAGAGAGAAACGTGGATTGCATCAGCATCAATGTGAAGGTTGATATTAAAGTAAAAAGCATTTCAAAGTCATTTCTCCAAGATAGTAAATTATAAGCAAAAATAGGACAGGTACCATTCAGTGTAGGGTGCTGTATGTGTTGGCTTGATTATTAAATTAACCTGTGTAATTGGAGCGCTAACAGCAACAGACACATCACTGTATTACTGTAATGTTATTGGCTAACGAGGATTAATAAATATAAGTAATAAGTAATCCTAGGTTAAAATCTCTTTTGGAGTGCTAAAAGTGTCTGCCGTAGCCTAAACTACAATATAAAACTACATTTATAGAGTAAATAATTTCCTGAATTTAATTATTTTACATGTGAAGTACAAAAAATCACTCTGTGTTTTTAAGAAAAAGATAAAGCTGATGCCTAAGTACAAAGGCAAAAAGTGTGAGTGGATCTTAGGAGTGAAGGAAACAGTGAATAACGAAATGAATGTCATCAGATCAAAATCAGCTCACCCGTATCCTTGACCCATTTAGATTTGCAGCTCTGGAAACACTGAAATGTACGCTTGTGAAAAAAGAGGGATCGTGTGCACAGAAACTACTACTAACACATTGGTACATGACTCACACAGGGCATGAAATTAAGCGCTGCCGCTCCCAAAATCAAGCACCTCGGGGCGTTCAGGCAAGCTCACTTCAGTCTACAAATGGGACTCTAACCCGGCTGTGATGTGGCAGCAGATCTCAGACATGAAACTACACCAACATATATGTAGTCCCAGCCCAGCTCTGATACCTGCAAATGCAAGCAGCAGGACTGCATTTCTAACATTTCCATATTTTGAATCTTATTTTTAAGTTATTACCAGCCTGCTCAAATGGAAAAAAACAACAACCCACAGAAACATCCACACTTCTCCAGCTCAGGTGTGAATACACTTGGTTTTTAGACTAATGGAGAAAGTACAATAAATGCATGTACTGTAAACACTACAGTGATGTAAAACAATAAACACCTGTATATTATTCAGCAAATGACAATACAATGAATATATTTAATCGGGCAGCTGGGCTTCCCTCTTGTTTAATGCTCATGTGCTGTGTTTGTGTGTGTGTGTGTATGTGTGAGAAGTGGAGGAGGATTTGACTGGATATAATTGAGTCCAGCTGCTTTAGAGGAGGCATACTTGACTCTGGCGTCTAAGACTTGGCTGATAGAAGACAGAAATGTGCTGCTGCGGCGACACAGTGGCTTAACCTTTGGACTGTACAGTTGATCTTATCCACACAGAGAGGGACAGGAAAAACTCCTAATCCTCGGACACATGTTCTAATAATATTACACATTAATATGCCAAGATCATGGCAGACTCAGTGCAGTTTTTCTTTGACTGAGGCCACACACACACACACACACACACACACACACACATACATACACAGTGTAGTGATAGATAAGTGGACAACAGTGGATTATGACACTTTTAATGCATTATCTTGTAGATTTTACTGACCTCCTTTGAACTTCATTTAACCAGAAAAATGTGTACAAATATGAAAGATAAAACAATAGGAACTAAAGGAGTGAAGCAGTGACACAGAAGACGTTTGGGTGTGGGGCTACCACCCATACTTGACATGTACATAATATATAATATTTTGTACTACAGTGCACACACTTTCTTCTGCCTAAAGGATACATACGGGGTACGTTGAATTGACACGACCCAATTTATCATCCAAAGTAATGTTTTCAGCTTTTGGTGAAGCCATAACATGATTGCACCTTGTGCCTTGCACTCCTGCTCTGAGCAAGCAGGCAACCACAAATCCTGGTAATCAGCTGTGACACACCCTTTGCTGTGCCTTTCCTCCCACTTGAGTGTAGTTAAGTTCATGGCGAGCCACCAAAACACCAAATGGGCCTAGGCAAGAAAAACAATTGTGTTTGTCCAGTAAAAACACTTTGTTAGCATAAAGCCCAACCATGCAGCATCAAAAACACGCATTCCATTTTATGCTCTTGTGGCTATTTCTTTTGTCCTCACAAATAGTTTCTTTTGGTCTTGTCTTTGTAATCTTTGACTAGGTATTTCATCTATTATAACACATCTGAACTATCCTTTTCCTGAAACCCTTCAACGTTCCTGTGACTGTCTTTCATTGCAGTAAAAGTTGTGCTCTGTAAACTCTTCTGCCCTGTACTGTGGAGTACTTTCAGAATCAGCCTAGTATCTTGTGCCTAGTTGTACCTTTTTATGTTTTTGAGGGACATCAAAACAGAGAAGTAAAATAGAGTCATCTTGACCAGGACAGACTTACATATGTGCTGTATCACTGCCGGCAGTCTGTTGGCTGAACCCTTCTAGCGCAGATTCATTAGCAAGCTGAAAGCCACTGTGATTTACAGGTACTGCAGCTACAGCTACAGCACAGCAACCTGACCAAGGTGCTGCTCTACCACTTTTCCTCATTGGCCACAGTGAAAAGACACAGTGTGAAGGATTACTTCGCTGCTCCATACTGCAGTCGCTGTGCCAGATAGTGCACCACTTTCTTTTTCTTACTGGTTCGCAGTTCCTCAGAGACAACAGCTAACTTGATTTTAATTATGGAGCAGACGTTTGAGGGTACATCATGAATGGGATTTATAATATATCCTATCAAATTAGAGTGGATTGGTATCATCTGTCTGTCATTCAGACATATTCACATAACATAGCACCATTAGATCGACATGCAGTATTGATATGGAGAATAACCTGTCTGGGAGAGACAAGACAGGGTGTCCAAATTGGCGCACACGTGTGTGTGTTAATGTCTTTGTGTGGTTATTCAAGCGATTGGAGGAACTGGGTGAGAAAAGTGTTCGGTGCCAGATCTTTGCACAATATATTTGAGTTATTTTAGTTTTGAAGCTGCCTTTCCCTATTTCCAAGCAATATCTCTGCCCATTTCATGGTCAGCAGGGCACAGCTTTAAAAATGGATATTCCAACATGTCTTTTAAGAAAAGCACAGCTGCTATGAAAAAGTGTGATGCGATGCTTCAGTTGTGATATAATGATGAAGAATGATGTCTGCTCCCATAAAATGATACCAGATGCTTTAATGGTGCTTTGTGGCCTTGTGAAAAGAGCTATAGCTTTATCCTATTTTGTGTAAATGTGTTGTTGAACCATGGCTGCTCTCGGGAGTTCTGAGGGCCAAAAGGGTAAAAGATAAAACTACATCTCTCTAGGCCTGGTTTGTTTAAACACGGCGGTCGATTCCCTGCTCTTGTCAGGCTGACAAGTCCAGCTGGTGAATGTCAGTCAGCTTGTACATCAATAGATTAGCTGGTTTGCAGTTTGTTTTTCAGATCTTGTCAAACCTTTTCCTTCTCGTCATCAACGCTGCACTGTGCTCTGCTCTGCTTCGGCCTAGTGGAGGCCGATATAACCCTAAAATACTATCACAATTTTTCTGAGTATATCTGCAATAGTTATATTCTTGACGTAGGGCTGGACAATAAAACAGATAAGATAATTATCCCAATATATTTTCCTCCATTCCCTTATTACAAATGTTCAATAAATGTTTGATTTAATTGTTTTTTAATATATTTATTTTAGATATTTATTTTAAAAAGATTTTACTTAATTTCACTCATGCGTGTTTGTTAAAAAAAGATATTATCATCATAATTGTTGTTGTTTTGAATGTTTTACCTCAGATTTGTTAAGTGACCCACTGTTTGGCATCAAGTGTTTGTCATGTTCTGACCATGAATAGTTTAAAACGAGAGTTACGTATGTAACTACGGTTCTATGAATTCTGGATGACCGCCAGAGGCAGTGCTTAACACTGGATGTTATCCGTCTTGCGCACAAGCAGGTCGAGTATTTAATATCAACGAAGTCACCTGTGACCTGAGATGATGTGGGGCGTAGCTTATATAAGCCCACGTCATCAGGAAAACTGTCCCTACAAAATCTTCTCGCCAAGATTCTGAGTGACAGAGAACTCTGGCGGTCATCCAGAATTCATAGAACCGTAGTTACATACGTAACTCTCATTATATTTCATTCTTCCTGACCGCCAGAGGCAGTGCTTAACACTGGATGACTACTACCAACGTCGTCACGAGGAATCCCACCTCACCGGGAACGGTCAGAGGCTTCCCGCAAGACAGCTGCTGCTGCTGCATGGGGGGCAGCTACATTGACCCTATAAAAACGGGCAAAGGTGCATGGTGTAGCCCAGGTGGCTACAGTGCAAATCTCACTCAGAGGCACCCCCGCAGTGCTGCCCATGAAGTGGAAACACTCCTGGTAGAGTAGCCCCGAATGTTAAAAGGCAAAGGTTGTCCCTTTGACAGGTACGCTCCCTCGATAACCTCAACAACCCACCTGGAAAGCCTTTGTTTAGACAGGGCGTCCCCTTTCCTACGGCCCCCATAGCAGACAAACAGGCTATCAGAGTGGCGAAAGCCAGCAGTTGCCTGCTTGTAATGCCTCAAGGCCCTCACTGGGCAGAGCAGTTCTGCTGACTCTGCTTCAGGAACCTG